AAGCGGTGACCAAGCATACGTAGCACGTGCCCGAGCCAACGCAACTTATTCAGTGCTATCTGTTGTTCTAGGGAGTTAATATGATTATCACTACATAGCACTCGCCCACGCACATCATCGTTGCGGACACGCTGATGCCATCCGACACCAGCAGTGCTTGGCAGACAACGATGATCAAAGACTTGAAGGCACCTCAGATCTTCAGACCGAAGGGGTCATGTCTCACTACCGTAGAAAAGCACGGCCCTCACTGTGGCCTTGTATACACGATCTTTCAGGAGGGAAAGTCCCTGCTGTAGCTAAAGATGCCGCAGGTTCAAGAAGGCATCATCATCATTATACACATCAGCTAGAGGTGGGTAAACACCTGCGCTATTTTGCCGCAATACATAAGGAAATACATACATACATACATATAATACAATACAAAAAGGAAAAATAGATACAACAGTTGCATGCCAGCTGAGCTAACAGCAACGGATAGGCATCGTTCCGGTAAGCTTCCAGCCAGCTACTAGGCACAAAGAAAAAAATTATTATGTTTTACCATAGGAAATGAGACTGCAGATGGAGGGGGAGGATAAAATGGATGGGGAGGGACAAAGAAACTCACAGCACAAATGCCACTGAGGTCGGCTCCTTACCATGTCAGCAAGTGTATCTAGCCAAACGTGTTCACCGTCTTTTGGACTCCAACCAGGGAGCCGTGACGCTTCAACCAAGGCTAGCTCCGAAGTGAGGGACTTCATTCCTCTGGACCAAGTCATCGCTTGGCCACCTCTCCTCTTCTTCCACCCACATCCCCGGTGAGCAAACAACGCACGTCGAGAGAGTCGGTGGGCTGGCATGCGTAACACGTGGCCGAGCCATCGGAGCCTGGTGCGTGAAATTACAGTGCCGAGCGGTTTAATTCCTTTTCCTGTGCCGTAAACAAGACGTCGAACACGCTCGTTACTCACGCGGTGTTCCCACCAGATGTGAGCCAAACTGCGAAGGCACCGATGGTCGAACGTAACTAGCCTCTTCATGTCCGCCGACCTTAGGGGCCAGGTTTCGCAACCGCACAGTAAGGTCGAACGTACCGCTGCATTATATACTCTACCCTTCAGGGCGAGAGTGATGTCGCGCCGCCCCCATAGGTGGCGAAGGTTAGCAAAAGCACTTCGAGCTTTTGCTATACGGTTCGTGATGGTTCAAGAAGGCAGCTCTGACCTTTGCAATGCGTGAGCTGACGTAAGTTTCTATGCGCACATCGTTGCTGATGCAGCTGCCATGATAAGTGAATCGATCAACCACCTCGAATTTCCCCGTTGGCAAGCATCAGGGGGTCATAAAGTGGCTGGTGGTACTGCAGCAATACTTTGCACTTTGAAGGTGCAACGCGCATACCAAATATTGGGACCACTCTAGACAGGCTATGCAGGGTTGTTTTTGCAGCCGCAACATCGTCGGAAAGCAACACGATATCGTCAGCATAATCTAGATCAACTAACATTTCACCAGACAGTACTTCAACGCCTACATCGTGAGATTCCGCAAGGAAATATTTCATGGAATTGAACAAAAATGGGGAAATCGGACAACCCTGACGAACGTCACTTGAGGTCGGAAAGCTATCCGATAGGACACCGTAGACCCTGGCGCGGCATGTAGTGTTCGAGTATAGAGCACATAGGATGTTCACATATTTCGTGAGAACACCTTTCCGCGCAAGTATCTCGAACAGAATGCATCGATGAACTGAAACGAACGCACCCTTGAAATCGAGGAACACAGTTATTGTCGGTCTGCGGTATGCGTGGCGCTGCTCTAGCACTTGCCGCAAAGTGGATATATGGTCTATACAGACACGCCCTGGAAGGAAACCGGCCTGCTATTCCCTAATCTGAGATTCGCGTTCCTCAGTGAGGCGACGAACGAGAATCGAGGCCAGTAATTTAGTCACAACTGGCGTTAGGCTAATACCCCGGTGGTTAGAACAGTCTGTGAGACTGCCCTTCTTGTATATTGCCACTATAATCGATTCGCTCCAATTAGTCGGCACACTCTTCGTTCCAGATACGTTCGTCAGTGCTCTGCAGAGGACCTCACCTCCATCCTGAAATAGTGCAGGTGGGACGGAATCCGGGCCGCGACACGATAAGGATTGAGGGCTGTGATCGCAATTCGAATCTCGGCCTCCGACGGAGGCTCTAAACTAACCGTCCCTGGCACGTCCTATGTCACCTCAGTAGGAAGAGGTCCGAGACCAGGGAGCCAACTGAACCGATCTTGTACGTGTTCCGCCTAACGAGACATACGGCGCTCCTTATTGTGTATCAATGCACGCACGCCGTCTCTGTTTGTCACATTGATGCCTCGTTCCCTGGGACCAGTGGTGCGGATCAGCTAAAAGAGCTTGCGGTAAATGCCTACTGCCCCTGCCTCCATTTCTTGAGCCCGACTGGTCCACCAAGCTTCCTTGTCATTACGTAACCTCCGCTTTAGTTTGCGCCTAATAGCCCCTCTGGCTACATTGTGTTCAGAGCCAGCTAGGAGGTTCCTTCCAGATTCCACCAAGTCCACCGACCTCTCGGATATCCAGTGAGTGGTGCGGTAACCATTGATAGTGCCACAAGCAGATACTCCTGCGTCCTGCGTGGCGCCTGAGATCCTATACCACTGATGTTCAGTGTCAGTAGAACAAGGCAGTGCGTCTTAAATGCGTCTCGATAGGGTTGCCTAACCGAGGGCTGCGACAATTTCTCAGTTGCCAATTGGAGGGGACACTTGGTGCGCCTCCCGGTAAATTTCATGGAGAAACGACAGCGTATCAAGACATGATCAGAGTCGACGCAGGTAATCCAGTACAAGCGGCAATCCAGGATGGAACCACGCCACCTGTAACTTATGGCTATGTAGTAAATTTGAGTCCATCGCTGGCCAGCTGTAGGAGGACGTCAAGTGGCACTTCGGCGCATACTGTGTCTAAAAGCAATGCTGCTAAGAAACCAGTGGTACTCCGCACATAATTGCAGCAGATGCTCGCCGTTGTCAGTCCGTTCGGAGTTAACCCCTTAATTACCACCCAGCTGAGCTTCTGAAGAGCTCAGACGCTTTACTTGTGCGTTCATATCCCCTGCAAGTAATATAATATCTGAACTGGTAGCACTGCGTAGTAGTGCGTTCAGATCATGATAAAATGTGTCCTTGGCAGCATTAGAACTGCAGTCGGTGGGAACATAAGCAGAAATCACAAACAAACAGCGTCTTGTACTACTTTGTGAATCAACCTTAGCTGATGTCGTCAAACGGACCGTACATAAACGACTGCTCACCGGAATCCAATCGACCAACAGTAGCGCAGCCTTGGAACTCAGAATGATACCTACACCAGCTCGATCAGTGAGTGTTGCATCGGTGTCTCCGGATGCGTGCAATCAATAACGAGAGGATAAGCCGGGTGCAGTTAGTTAAACAACCCCATTAGGGTCATTGATCCAATTGCGGACACAAAACACACATCAATACCCAGTGTGTCCAGAGTGGATGAGAGTGCAGCCTGTTGACCTGTTTGTCTTAAAGTGCGAACGCTAAATGCCGTCGTGGAAAGGGGACAGCGTGGCCTTGTGAGGGACTGTTGCTGATAGGCGTCCGGTGCGTGTCGCGAAAACGTGGCTGCAGATGCTTCTACTCCAGTGGCACTTCGGTTGCTGTCAATTAAGCTGGAAATTATAGAAGGAAGTTTAGTAATGCGGTAGGGATGGGAGTAAGAGAAAAAGGTGGAAAAGAAAGAAGAGAGGAGCCAGCAGTAGCATGTTTTCGCTTATCCGCCCTGCTGTATGCAGCAGATAAGGCGACCCTTGATAATCTGCGCGATGGTCGAGGCAGGGTGAAGTTTATGTTTGAAGAAAATGTCATGGTTGTATGTGAGCTGAGATACTGCCAGGACGCCCAGACCTAGACAGGAGGACGATTATGGTTCTCATCCAAAGCCTTTGCCTCAAAAGCCTGTCCGCAAGGCAGCTGGGAGGTAGCAAGGATTTAGTTTTACAGAAATGGACGCCATCCCATTTCAAACCCCCAAGCTGGAGGATCAGGAGACTGAGTTTGTCTGACCTCTCACCATTGACCAACCTGGTAGGAGTAGCTCCCAATCTGCTCGGAGGCACCACCCAGTATAGCTCAATGGGTCAAGGAGGTACCCAAACCGTAACACCACGTTAAGGTCCAGTCTCATGGCGACGGAAACCAAAACATCAAATTCAAAGTAATAAGCTGTAGCACTACCTATAGATTATGACAAATATGAGTCGTACCAAAGCTAGATGAACGCAAAATGCAAAGGAATCGTGATTTAAACGCTTAGAGATTTACAGCGGTGCTAGCTATGGAGTAAAGCCAGACTACAGGTGCAAAAGGCAACTTAATATAGCTGTGTCAGGTGGCATGAACACAACCAAAGTTTAAATGTCTATTAGTCCAAACGCGGTGAATTAAAAACCATGTTTTTGGACTCTTCAACTACCAGAACAAACTTCATAATTGATGAATTCTATTTTTAATCCAACAACAGTTGAGCTGTTCAGACGTCGTATTTGGTAGTTTATGCCTACAACTAAAATGATCTGACCGTACAAATGTCTTGAAGAGTCAAATACATCTTCCTCGCTAGCTTTGGAGATGCTGGAAAAAGAGTGTGGTGAAGAAATTACAGATGTTTACGATACAGTTCAGCGTACGAGTCACTACCTTCGTTTGAGCATTATGAAGGAGCAATGGTTAGAGAATTCACTAAAATCACCTACTCTTAGAATGGCTTGACTTAAGTGGCTAAAGAGCAGTTAATCGTTCACTTAAAAGATCGTGTCGGAAAACGTCGAATAAGTGACCAAACAATGCAGATGTAGCCTGGAACAACAACATGCTCACAAGTGTACATAAGTTTAGGATTACGCGCATCCAGAGTCATCTCAAAGTCATATCATCGGTAGCACAATAAACAAAAGTAATTTGTTTACCTCCACCAACTGCTGTATTTTTCCGTATGCCAACAGATTCTGCAGCCTTTAATTCTTTGCTGTATCTATCCAGCTCCTTTTGTTCACCTCCAAAAGCAAAAACCGTGCGAATTGCAGATAACGCTTCATTTGCAATGGAACCAGCCTTGGAGTATGCGGACAACTCCTTGATTGTAAAATGCTTCATTATAAAGCCAAATAGGCTGAAGGCAATGGCGACGAAAGGAAGCATTGCGCATGCCACCAAAGTTAACTTCCAGCTTAATGAAAAAGCAATAATAATACCGGCAACGAATCCAGATATATTTTGCACAAATTCACCAAGTTTGGTTCCTATTCCATCCTCGATTTGTTGCGTGCTTTGGGAAATTTTGTTTATTAGCGCCCCTGCAGACTGCCTATCAAACCAAGAGGCATCTTGCCGAAGAATCGCCTGAAAGTTATAGGAAATAACATGCGAATACTTCAGAAACACACCTTACTTCCCAGTCCCAAGCGTAGACACATTACCGTACTCAATCAACGAACGTACAAAAACAAGTAATAATTCCAAGTGCTATATTTTAACAGTAGAAAAATTTTAAAGCTTTCAAATTTTGTAATTCTGGTGTGCTTAACCATCTACACAAGTTGACTACCCTAACGTACCCTTTCTAATAGCAATAATTAACAAAGTTAACTTGACACCTGATTTAGATAAATACATAACTTGCGTATTTCAGTGCTAGTAACAAAACATAGTAAAGTCATTCAATGACAACGGATATCTTCAGGGCTGTTTATTTCTCAGGTACGCTCAATTCTCGAATATGGCTTACCAACAGTCTTTCCACCCTCATAACTGGAATGTACCCTGATGAAAAAGGTCCAGAGACGTAGCTCGAATTTCGTATCTGGAGTTCGAAACTTCTTCTATCCCCTTTGGCTCGAACGGGTGAACCTCTTCTCTCTGTACAACCGTCACCGTCGCGGGGATCTTAGCTTCATCGGACGCATACTAAGTGGAGAACTTGGAAATGAATTACAACAGTATTTCCAGCTCAAGAAAGGAGGCTCGACAAGTGGTCACGACTTGAAACTTTCCAAACCGAGGAGGCTCTAATTTTACTATGCTGTAGCCCAATCCACCAGGGTGATAAACGTAGAAACCGTCTTCCGGTGAACATTATCAGTGCACAGTCTGAGAAATATCACAAGCGGCTCTTAGACTTCCACTTGTGTAAGATAGCAGGACTGCACTGTTCTACTGCGACTGCTCCAGCCCACTAGGACTGCTGGTCGCAATTACATGCTCCTGTTGTGAATCGGAGGTGATATGTGACAAGAGATTTCTTTCTGCCCCTTACAACTCAATGAATTCATTGAGTTAATAGATTTCATATTGGTCTATTATAAGCCGTCCCCAGGTAGTAAATAAAAACGCCAGCAATAATTTCGTGTCAGTAATTAACTAAGAAGAAGGTTAAACTCTTAACTTGTTATGCAGATTTGATACCAACATCAAATAATATTCACTGGTCTGATTTGAACTCACTTGCTTCATACCAAGCTTCATACTAAATCATAAATGATCTTAGTTTTAGCATGGAGATATTTCATGCAACAAACTACCGAAAGTATGCTCAGAGATAGTCAGTGTTACAATGGACCAAAGTACTATGTTTCTACAAACCAGTATCAATAGCAGTCGATAACAAAGACCACTGCTTTTGTTTCCAGGTTAAATGTTGCTTTGATTTAGGCAGGAGCAACATAAGTAACACCAATGACAGCTGATAGTTTGAGCGTTTAGGATAAAACGAAATGGATATAAGTGCGGCCATTGTGGACAGGTTTGCCTCGGTTTATCTCTAGCAAGGTGATGCAAACATTGAGAAAATAAAGCAGATAATTTCCCAGGCAGTTGCAAAACTAGTTTATGATACTTGATATAGCGCATGGTAAGAGTGAATCAGGATAATCACATTTTATTTGTGGGATAAGCGCATTTCGTTCCAAAGAATTTAAATAACCAGCTGCTTATTAATAAGATAGACTCGTATCATAGCTCGATAACCAAAATACAACCGTAAGCCTGCTTTCAACGGATGATGTGCGTCGTAAGGCCGGCTGGTTCAGATATCCAGCTTCAAATCGATAGGAAGAAGATTCGACTCTGCATGGACATGGATGATCGCTATGTACCACCGCCTAAACATTTAGCGAGAGTGGTCGGCTCACACTAATAAACTCTTCGGGTGTCTATGTCTACCGGGGAATTAAGGTAAAAGCAGCTAAGTGAAGGGACGTATGTTTATTGGTGAGTGTGCAACTGTCGCATATATTGGCTAAAAATATGACACCGAAGGACGCGGGATAGCTAAGGAATGAAGTTTTGCTACAAAGTGATACAGCGTGTAGTGCTTTGTAAGTGTGATGCACACTGAGCAGACAAATTTAAAATAACATTTAATATTCTACATGGAATACCTAAGTGTAAGAAAGGGCGATAGTTTTATTTAGTATTTTGCACAACAAACTTATACGAACAGGGGGAATCTACAGGCCGCTATAGTGCTACTGCTTGTGGTCATGTGGCAAAATAGCACAGACCAGCTATTGGCGTACCGCAGTTGTACACAATTAACACAAAGCATAATATCCCATCAGTAGCAGGGTGAAAGGTTTTGACGTGAAACCTCCGTTAACAAGTCAGTTGGTATTCATTGTGGGGTAAAAGTAATTTTAAATAAAAACGTGGAATTCCTCGAAACCTTACTTTATATTAGGTATAGCGCGGTTAGGCAACAAAAAAATGTTTCTGGTGCAGCGATCTATTACTTTTACGCGTAAATACATTGTGTACGCTGCCTAACGTATGCTGAGAATTGGGGTTCAATTTGAATTGCGGACATTACATTGAAATGGACGCAACAACTTGGGTTACAATACTATGAACAAGGTTAAATCATGATAAGTTAGCCAGTCAGGCATCAAATACTGAAGGCGCATTAGACATTTGAGCATTTGTTGATGGTGGTGGGGGTAAGAATACCAACCTGATGAGTCCATAATCCCCTCAGGTTAGCTTAACTCAAACCTGAGTAAATTGAAAGATAATAAGAGTAATAACTACGAAAACAAAAGCAAGCTTAGTAGCAGTCAAATAACTGGCAGAAAATGAACAAGATTAAATAAGTTTCAAGCGAGAGTCAATGACCTCAAAGAATAAAAGGATGGGATAAACTTACTTTGAAGTAAAGAAGGCGTATAGTACGCAGCTGCCTCTTTGAAGAAATACCAAGTAGAGTAGCTTGAATGAATGAAGCGACTAGCAGAATACATCCAATTATCACGAACCAAATAACACTAGGGTAGGCATCTGCCGCATGAAATTGACCTGAGCCAGGAGGCACGGTTAAGACATTGACAAGCGTCCGAAATACTAAAATGTTGCAAGGTGCAGTTACACCGACTCCTGCGGATAGCAAGAGACCAAATGCAACGAACAACCTCTCCAAAAGATTTGAATAGCGGTACTAAAACTGACACAAATTGCTAAGACCAGATTTACCAGTGAGAAAAACGACACCGGTGGGTATTCATCTTGCGATCTTCATCAAATTTAGGTAAATGTTGTCGAAAACCTACGGCTCGTGTGCTTTCCCTTTCTTGCTAAAAATAGACGCGCGTAAACCCATTGACCATTGGTGTCGACGGCTGCACACATCACTTATATTCTACCAACACTGGCAAACTAAAACAACCAATACTTAAATATTTCATTCTCCCATAAAACAAAAAACCTTTCGTGTAAGATTTATTAAGAACTTTAGTTATTAAAGAATGAAGCTTAATCTGTAATTTTTATTGTATTGAAATTGATCTTTTAGGTCAGGTCAGGTCAAACGTACGGTAGAGGCTTCTGTCTAACCAGCGTCCAATTCTTGCGCCGCTAAGTGAAGCGGCCCCCGGCATTTCGACGTTGGATTGTCTCTTCTTGCTTCTGCAAAGGAATGAGGCAAGAGCAATTGCAATCTTTACACTCTCATATTTCAGCATCAAAATACACTACATATTCCAGTAAAATTACAATATATCTGGAAAAAGAATAGACCAACGATCGTCTAGGCCGCTTTTGAAGGCTTCTACAGTCTCAGACTGTACTAAATCAGAAGGAAGTTTATTCCAGAAGTTGACTACTCTGTTCGTAAAACACTTTGCCCTGATGTCCTAACGAGCTCTATGATGTTTGAGCTTCAGGCGATGCCCGCGCAGATGGTCTGACATAGCCAACGCAAACAGATGGGTGGAACTAGTACCACTATGTCCCTTGATGATCTTGAACGTCTCTAGCAAATCTCCTCTCAACCTACGCCGTTCCAAGGCAAATAATCCCAAGCTATTTAGACGATCTTCGTACGACTCCCCTCGTTGACCTTCAGTCATCCTGGTCGCAAATTCCCGAATCTTTTCTATACAAATGATGTCCCTCCGGAGGTACGGTGCCCAGGCCTGAACACAGTACTCCAGATGTGGCCTAACCACTGCTTTATATAACGGCAAGAACGCTTTTGCTTTAGTGTTACTCGGCGCCCTCCTAAGACGCAATAACTCTTGTCGCGCTTTATTGGCAGCATGGCGACACGGTGCCGAACGCTTAACATTGTTCACTACGATGACACCAGGATCGCGGGTTGCATCAGTACACTGCAACGATAGAGATTCTGCAGGAGGCTGAACTGCACTTCCGCTACTACTACTGGTCAATATTTGAAATTTATTGGCGTTTAAAGGTAGATCCCATTGGATCGATTAATTCACCACAGTGATAATATCTTTAACCAATGTCGCTCGGTTTCCTCTGCTGACTAGCTTCAAGCCATCTGCGAAGGTATAGCAGGGATCCTTAAGAAGAGGAGCCAGGTCATTTATAAACATAACAACACTGGACCCGGTACCGAACCTTGGGAAACACTGTTGTAGGCATGGCCAACACTGGAATTCGCTTCCCCAACCCTGACTTGGAATGTCCTTCCACGTAAAAATTCAGAGCCATAGTAATATTTGAGGATGCAATCCAAACCATGTCAGCTTCTCAATTAAAAATCGATGATTCACTGAGTCAAAGGCTTTACTGAAGTCCAAATAGCACACCTCTACCGACATCCCACTATCAAGACATCGGGTAATCTCGTCAAAAATGCACAATAAATTTGTAAGACAAGACTTCTTTTTCCGAAAGCCATGCTGTTCCGCTCTAATTAGCTTGTGCTCAGTCAAGTGCTCACAGATCCCGTTCCTTATAAGCTTTTCCAAGCACTTTAGCATGATGCTGGTCAAACTAACAGGCCTATGGTTAAGTGGCACCGACTTAGAACCCCCTTGTGGATGGCCACAATAGTCATGCGGCTAGCCGAACAACCTCCTCGTGGTGTCAGCAGGGTGGTTCGGGTTTAACCCGTTCCAGCAAATAGTTCGGCGGCAGTGTTCCAGGACGTGGTGGGTTTCGCCCGGCAAGCGTTCTCCCTATAAAAAGCCACAAATGTCTGCTTAACAACACTGTGACGTGGCGGTCGTGACTCGCCACAAAATAAAGTCACTGTCCCGTGGACATCCGGATAATTCTATCCAACCCACGGACACCAATCTCCTACTCGCATATTGATGACCACATCAAACATTGAAGATTGGAGCAGCACAACTACAAGCACAAAATACACAGATACATACACATACACACAATGACATACATACCTGACCACTACACAAACAAAAACTGCTATGGCAAACATATCGGATTTTTGCACATTCTTGATCATGCACCGTTATGTCAAAATGATCATGCCTGTAAAGGCGTGCCTCATATCGTTGAGAACAAAAGATTTATCTATTTATTTATTTACTCACATGGCAGCTTGCCCACTTGAAGAAAGTGGTTGACTAACTCCGCTACGGGATACTGAAGAATATCAGCCAGAGGCTAAACTATGGCGGGACGTGCACTATCAGGACCAACTGATTTATAAGCGTTCAACTGTCCAGCAATTTGAAGACCTCCGGCACATTGAGAACAATTTCCAGCATTGTGTAGCTAGTTGAACAGTGCGGCTGTGATGGCAAGCCTGACCCACTATCCTTCCGATGCAGGTTTTGGTAGACACGTAGCAGCGCTTCTACTTTATCATCGTCGTCTACAGCCTAGGTACCGTCCTTCATGGTTAGACAGCCGACCACCTCTCTTAAAGAAGCATTTGACTGGACATAGCTGTAATAACACTTGGGATTAGTTTTCGCAAATTTGGCCAACCTAAACTCATATGCGTACTTCGCCTGCCGCTGTAACTTAATAGCCAAGATTCGACACCTATTGTATTGCAGCCAACGTCGGAAGCCCCGAGTTTCTTGATATTTTCTCCACTCAGCGATGCGCCTCTTTAGCGCTCTATCAATTTTTCTCCTCCACCATCGGGGTTTCCGAAGATGTCTCCTGGGGCGTAGAGGAGCAAGTTCGTTCAGCACCAGCACAAATCCACTTTTGAGTAGAAGCCACCTCTGTTCCAAAGTGGCCTTGTCCTGTTCAGGGATCCAAGTGATCTGAAGGGCTCGATCCCCCAGCTTCGTAAAATCAATCGGATTTAAATCCCTTCCCATTCGACGGTGTGCTGCAAGCCTCGGTGTGTCCAGAGAAAAGGTCAAAACACAATGATCATTCTTATCTATGGGTGGCTCCACGCATAGGTCAATCAGGTAACCATGTCTGGCGATCACGATATCAAGGGTAGAAGGGGTATGCCCAGTACGACTCCTAGGCGGAACATAGACTTATTGCTCGAACGCATTTACAAGCAGCCAATCTACTAGTTCCTTCTCTAGACTACCCACTGTATTTTCAACATGCTGCCAATCAGCATACGGAAGGTTTAGGTCACCGACGATCAGAAAATTAGGTGCGGCCATTGCCGGCTGTCTTAATAACCTGCCAAGATCCCTGTCCTCTTATCGCGTGGAGGATGGGCTAGGATAAACACATACTATAATCTCCAATCTACCCCACGCCCTGAACCATAGCAGAACTCATGGTAAATGGAGCCTCCCAGTGTTTATATTGGAATTTTATCAGTAAGAATACTCCTCCACCAGTCTGATACCCGGGCCTGTCAGCACTATAGCACGCGCAGCCTATAAGCAGATCACCAATAAGGCCATCTGGAGAAAGCCAGGACTCCGACACGGCGGCCACATCAACATGCTCACAACGCGTCACTAACTCCCTCATTTGTTACGCACACTACAGCAATTATTGTACCATACGCTTAGTTTCTCCGAACGCGGTTGTTTCCTCTCGGAGGTAGAGCCCGAGGGGATAACCCGTTGTTTGTACCATTTCATTTTCATCGGCTGCCTGAGTCGATGAATTAAAGCTGGGCTGCTGTAACTCATTACGGGATAATCCCTTTATTGGCTTCGCCCGCTTGGGCTTCCTGGATAAACCCCCGACGGGTTTTCTCCCATTTACCTGAGTCGACCTAACAGCACTGCACTTCGGATTTTCTTTACGGTCCAGTTTATGTGCGGCAAGTTGTTCATTGTTCCTATCATTTTGTGAAATGGGCCTACCACCCATGGACTCTGGTGCCAATACTATCGAGCATGAGGCCTCGATAGTTTTTGAACGCACTGCCTGAAGTTCCATTGCCACATCTTCACTATTTTCTTCCGCCAAAGTGATATGATACACATTTCTATTAAGAGCAAGTTTCTCCACAACCAAATGCAGGCCAGGAGTTATCTCACTGGCGTCTTGTGAAGGGGTTGTCCAAACAATCTGACTGTCCTTACCACAGGAAAGCAGTCGCTAGTGCTTTGCTTAGGTGTCTGCGTAACGTGAGGCACACTGTCGTGAATTCCAGCGTGTGAGACAGCAGATTCGTTTGCCAAGCTTGTATTAATGTCCTCAAACCGGGTCAGCCGATGGGCTTTAGCCTTCGAAGTTAGTGTGTCCGGTGCTATTTGACACCGACCATTTGTCTGACTTGCAACCAACCCAGTCCTCTTAAATAGCAGGTCCCGGTGTATACGGTTCCGAAAGGCAACCAGCATAGGCCTTGCATAACCCCGTTGGCGGAGCACACTTGTTTCTCCCCAACTGCCAACACGATGTACTCTTTGGATAGCAACGTATAACGGTATTCCGGCTATACGAAGGATATCGTGCACTCGCCTTCTGTCTAGGTCCCGTCGAGTTTCAGCTTCCCGTATGACTGGCTCTCCCTATCGTAGGTAAAAATGTATCGTTGTCTACCCATAGCAAGTTCTGCACTTCACAAGTAACATTCCAATGAAGACTGCAACGCTTCAACTTTTGAACGCAATGTCTTGATTAGCAGGCTCTGGGTACTAATCCACTTCTCCGTAATGTCTAGTCTATGCGCACAGTTTCGACTTGCAGAATCATGCACAGCTGAGACATGAGTAACGGGATCAAACGTCCGATCATGTATCAAGCGAGTACCATGGTCTGCCAAGCACACGCAGTGGAAGCAACTCCACTTTAATTGGGGATGTCGGGATGTCCTGGTCTAATCTAGAGCAATTGTTATGGTACCATAGCAAGCGTCTGTCGCACTGAATTCTTTCTTTGACCTCAACGCCACAAGTGTGTTCACCACATTTATAGCTAGCCACTGATGTCATCGCAAATAGTACGTAACAGCCACGTATAGATAAGAAAA